AACACTTATGCAAAGTTTTCCTTCAGAAAATAAAGCCACTAGGTCAGAAGTTGGCTACTTATTTTCATTCGTCAACTGAAGGACAAAATTGTCCAATAGGAGTTTTCCGCCCACACAGTAACACGAAACCAAGGTTGAAATGCAAAATTTCTACCTTAGTGGTTGACGACTTAGAATGTTGATTTCGGTTTAGGCTGCTTCCTATCATTAGTACTGCATATTAATATTGGTCTTCTTACTTTCGTCAAGTTCATGGATGAAGAAGAAAACGTATCAGTTAGCTAATCTTATTTTTGTAATGATGAATCGAGTTAAAACATCTAAAATAATAGAAACCGAATATTTCTAAGCCACATACAATCAAAATTTCGTAATGATATTCCATAACGACTTGTGTTTGGTAAATGATCTTGCTATACGTATTACCGTCATTTGTCTGAATGATTTAGAATCGATTTGTTTACCCAAGTTTTGTCACAATTCACTGATACACCTCTGGAGAGACAGTAATAGTAATTTTTTTGATTTCAGCGATCTCTCTCACCCATCGGTATGCGTGCGTATATAAAATGAGTAACTTTCAATGCAAACAAGTGGATTCTTACTGAACACAGATTTGACTGTACCTCATCCAAAAAATATTCACTGGGAAAAGTTCTATTTGATCAATCCATGATAGAAAGGTAGGCATGATCCTGTTGCAATAAATGTATCCTTAAAACCAATCAAATTATGTACTGAACCCGACAAAAAACCAACTTATCTCAACTACTTTGAAAGATCTGGATTAAAAAATATCGTTCGGAAATCTCTATCATTAAGCTGTTCAGGTTTGGTAAACGTAACTGATCTTCATCAACTAAGATGATAACCTTCTGATAGATTGAGTTTTAGCGCAAAATCTTCAATATCATAGCATAATCTTACTGTAATGTCTTAACCAAAGAGTAGTTATTGTTAGAAAATCGTTCTAGTGAATACTGAGGCAGGTTTTTGAAACGAAAGAATGAGATGAAAGACAGATGAAAACGCAGCAATTGAGAGAAAAATTAAATCACTGATGATTCATCATGAAGTAGTGTAGCCAGGCGGTGACATAAGTCTCTGCAAGAACTGGCGTGGAATCATGCTCCTGTCCACCCCAAGTAAAATATTAGGCCATATCATCCTGGAGAGACTAAAAATGGCCTGCATCCAAAATTACTACCGGGACTGGCTGGCTAGTTTCAGGAAGAACAAATCATGTGTGGATCAAATTGCAAAGTAACGCATCATCATAGAATACAGCATAGAATGGCAACCAACTTTTTACCTCAACTTCTTAGACTTTGAAAACGCCTTCGATAGCGTCGACTGAGAAGTAATTTGCCAGGGAGCTGATACAACACAAACCACAAACCTTTAACCACAACCTCATTCAACAGCTATATGACTATACATGCCAAGCGGTTCACAATGGGAAGTTCAGTGATGCCTTTGAAATGAAGACAGGAGTAAAACAAGGTTTCTGTCAACTGTCATCACCGATGATCTTCCTGATTGTGGTCGACTGCACTGCACTGCACTGGACTGGACTGGACTGGATCATGCAACAAACTGTGAGGAGCGAGAAAATCGGGGTTGGCCGACTGGACCGATGAAAAGACCCCAGAAGAAGATTTGGATTTCGCCGCCCATGGTGATTTATGTGTGATGTCTTGTCACACAAACTCGAAGATCTACAGGCGAAAACTGACAAGTTGACAGAAGAGGCCAGGCAGCGAAGACGGGACTTCAAGTGAACGTAGCGAAGACAGGAGTGATGAAGATACCCGACCAACAACAACGAGTGCCAATCACAATTGACGGGAGAAATCTAAAGGAAGTTGTCTCTTTCACATACCTAGGCAAGGCAAGATCGTTTCAACTACAGGCGGCGGCACAGATGAGGATGTCAAAACCAGGATGGGAAAGACAGCAAGACAGGCCTTTCTTCATTAATCTGAAATCAGTGTGGAGATCTGCTGTACTCAGCATAAAGCTTGAACAAGATCCAGATTTTCAACACTAAAGTAAGTTAGCTTTTCTATGTAGTTCAGAGGCTTAGCGCCGCGTTGTAGAAAGCATTTCCAACAAACTGCAAACATACATCAACAGCTGCCAGCTACGCCCACTCGATACTGAAACTAAAGATCAGATGGCCAGAAAGAATGAGCAGCAATAAACTCTGGCTGGCTGGCAACAAATCAACCACGAACCCATCGCCCAACAAATATACAGAAGAAAGTGGAGATGGATTGGACTTGACATACACTGAGAAGATCGACTGGGGACATCACGCGCCGGGCCAAGCCAGGCTCTTGAGTGGGATCCAAAGGGGAAACGATGAGTTGGTTGTCCGAGGCGAGGGTGACATGGAGGAGATTGTGTGAGGAAGAAATGAAAGCTTGTGGGCAGTCATGGATTCAGGTTGAAAAGACTGCAGAAAACAGAGTGAAAAGGCGACGCGCTACTGAAGCCGTATGTCCCACTAGGAACCAAAGAAACTGACAATAATAATAATAAAATAAAGTGTAGCCAAGCAAGGAATTCAAAGTTTGCAGCTAAAGTTTATCATTTATAAGGACTAAACAGAAGATGTATTATCATTCACATCAGTTCAAACATTATCGAGAAGATTCCTTGGCTCTCAGTGAATCGTAAACCATGAAGCACAGAAACACTGCGGCATTTGCATTTGGAAGGATGGATCAATTTTTATAAACGGCGTCCTGGTTGTATAGTACAGCTAAAATTTACAAACTAAACTGATAATTGTGAGGCATTTCAGATATAATTAATCCACTATATCGTATAGTAGGAAATAACCATCCCATAATTCTTGAAACAAATGGGAAAAGTCTCAACCTGATCTAATTGAAGCTTCCAAATTCATCTATCTGATTATAGCAGCATCATTCACATGTTCTCGCTTTATTCACATTTAAATATGAAGTATAAAGGAAAGAAGCAACAAAATATATTTTTATGAAAGTTGAATGTTCCATCGGTTTCACGTTTATAGTAACGGCAGAGGAGATATTTCATATCACTATGCTATACTTTAAAAGTAAAATCTAATATATATTTATATTAGCCAAATATCCGGCTAGATGTTTCATTTAACAGACAATATTCGGTAAATTAATTCATGAAAGAACAGACTAGTTATAGGATATTTTAGTCTTTTATTGATATCATTTGAAAAGACATCAAAACAGAAGTGTTTTCATTCTTGTTAAGAACAAATGTATGTTCAACATCTTCTGATTTTCAATGGTTCTTTAGATGATTTCAATCAGCAGAGAAAATTATCCTCATATTGATGAATAATGTTGTTGATAGCATTTGAAGCATCCTTTTGTAGATTTTCTAAGACTACATAATCAGTTTGAGTGAACATATCTGCTTATTCGACATAGAACTGGTTATCTTTAACCAAACCGTTATGATATAATGACAATATTGAGCAAGTGATCTTTTTCAAAGTTAGAACCCTTCACCAGAATGTTCAGAGATCCCACTTAGACCCAAGTCCAGTATTTGTCGCTTCAAATGTTGGATTGGGAGTGTTAATTGAATGTATAAACCCCGGAAGTATCTTTAACTACTGATACCTATTGATTTATACTTCTCTGAATTCGACTTATGCTTGCAACTATTTTTCCAGTTTCAGATATACTGCTTATTTCTGCTGGTCTAGATGATACCATTTACGTATTACTTACTCTTCTACTCTAGACATGCTGTTACATTTACCTGCTCAAACTTCACTATGGTTGAGTATGTATGACCAACCTATATGAATGTCTATGTTCACCTGTTAAGGCTTAGTATGCTCCTCAGTGTTAACTCTAAAGCACTGACGAGCAATTTTTTATCTGTTACTATAAGATGCAGATTTAGAAGTGATATTCATCATGGACTGACATCAGTTGGGGAACCATTGAAAATCTGGGAGCACTCGACAGCCATCCCATCCTCGTATGGGACTCCTCAGCGGTATGCACCCACGACCCCTCCACAGACCGAACTCAGGACCCTCAGGTTTCACGGCGAACACGTTAACCATTCAGCCACTGGGTCGGTTTCCAGCGGTTCGCAATTTCCAACTCCTATCAATTCATGACATAGCGCGACTATCACCGAAGGTCTTCAGTTAGCATCCACTGGTTGAGTCCACAGGTCACCCCCACATATTGTCACGTGAAGCATCACAAAGAAGTCTACTGTATTTGAGCGTAACATAACATCTACTATGCAGATTCGAACGAACTGCAAACACAAGTATTAAAAGTGTCATACTACTCTTATCGATCCAGATATAACTGGTTAATGCATAGAAATTTCTCACTAAACATAGTTACCATGAGAAATGGCTAAATGTTACAAATTTTGTTCATGATAGTAGATAAATAAACTTTAAAAGTTGAGCAGAGAGGTAACTGCCATTAACATCAGTATGAAAGTGAGTTTTTCGTAGGAGCGTATAACTTACACCTTTAATTCGTTTTGTATCTAACTTTCAGAAAGAAAACCTTATTGAAACAAAAATAATTCCAAGCTACTTAACATCAATAAAGTAGGTCTTAATTGTACTCAACTTATAGGAAAGTTGATCAATACAGTTGAATGAGGCGGACAAGTTCCCTACATTATTCAAACAAAATTAACAAAAATATGTCAAAGTTATATTTGTTTACTTCAAATCACTTCAGAAACACTGTAACAGTACACATTCATAACAACAACGCTGTTGAAAAGAAGTTAAATGCAGCCGGATGGAGATCACAAGATGACCTAACACAATATTTAAAGAAGTGTTAAAGACAAATCGGTTTGTCGATGTTTAAACATGAAATAAGTAAATATTTGAAGTTAAATACGAAAAAGAAAAAGGTTATGTAAAAGGAAGAAATCATTTGATCAAATTATGCGATAGTTATTGAGGCTTTGCATTGAAAAAAAAACATTAGACTGGGTTAACGAGGCATTTCAAATTCATATTTTTCTTCTTCAAATTCCTAAAAAGTAGAAAATAGTCAACAAGTAGGATAAGCACAGAAATTTCTTTCTCGTGAATGAATAGAATTCTGGTGACAATATTTTAGATAGATTCTCACCATTTCAACTAGTCAATGAGAATGTTATACCTGGGCAACTAACATGAGAATATTAGGATGCAATTATAAAACAGCATTTTAAAAAGATTAGAAAATTTAACCGTCCACCTGAGTTTCACATTATGCATGCGATAGTCCCAATGCAAGAACATCAAAGTCAAGTTTACGATTTTTCTCTTGGAAACGTTAGTAATATTTACCTGAACACAGAATAGTAAACTACTCATCGTATACGCACTGATATTTTGAAGCATCGTACCATCATTTGTCAGTAGAGATTTTTATAGCCTTTTGCTAGTAGTAACGCACTACTACGGTGATCCAATTTATTTTAAAATCTTTTAACTACTTTCAACGTATTAAGTAGTATACACTGCTTATGAGAGTTATTCAGCAGATGAACGAACTGTTTCTAGTTTGGGTTGCTTTATTCATTCTCTGACAGATGATTTACCTAGTAAATAAGTAATTTTAAAATAACTGAGAAAATAACAACAAGCACAGTGGCCAAGATTTGAGGTAAAAAGACAAAAGAAAGAAAAGTGCTAGTTGTGTTATGAAATTCGTAGAAAACCACAAAACTAAGATGGGTTAACACAAACAACGAAAAGTGATATGAAGACTAGGATTAACACAATGTGTGGGTGTGTCTGCATCACTGTGGTCGATTCTGAGCTATTTCACTCTTAGTCCTCCACTATCACTTTCGGTTGTCATGCGGACACCAATCTAGAAGTCTATACTTCACTATAATCCTCAGTCACAGACTTCATGGATTGATGATACACATTAGTCTGGTCACCTTCAATCTTTCGGCAACGTAGCTTTACCTCCGCTAACATTGACCACCAAAGTAGACGTCCACTAGGCATGTAAGAAACATGTTACAGTTACCTTAGCCAATTAAAGTGTACAACCTCTTTTACCCAAGAACTTACATCTTGCTTTGACGACTAATCCTAAGAACATGAGTTGTCATATGAAGAAGCCTTACTAAATCCCTAAATCTCATGAGTAAGTGACGCGACAAATAGAACTACTGAGGCGTGGACTACTCCTATAGCGGACAATCGGATATCCCTCTAGAGTCAGTATCGTAGGTTGCTGAAGGTCACCAAGGTGTTTTTACATATGTGCCGAAAATTCCTCAGCCACTGACTCACCAGGGCCGACACATCTTCAGCACTCAGTGAGCTCTACCGTTGCATTCTCTATAGTCAGATGGAATACTAACTAGTACCAGTTATTAAGCAACAAATAAAAGCTGCACTGAGAAGAAGCTTCCCTGATGCCAGACTAATCTCAGTTTAAAATACATTGTACTCATTAACACAGTCATAAGTAGACAAATACCCATCTCATATCACCTCCAACTGTCTATAACCAAGTCACCTGTGCTTGTGGAAGCAAGTACATAGGATGGACAGAAAGAAGGGTGTCTACTACATTTTGTGAGCATATTTCATGAAGTCTGTGTCTGAATGGTAGCAAGGTCTTTAGGAGAGCAATCGACAAGCACCTGATGGGAACAGGACATCAAATCGATGTTTCTCAATCCTTCAAGATAATCAACAAACAAAGAGAACCATGTTTTTTACGGTTTATGGAAGATCTTGCTGTCAAACACTTTCAACCTGACCTATGTACTCAGAAGGTAACTGTAATTAACCTTTCTTTATCTTGGTAACTATATAATTTTGATATCATTGTCTCTTCATTAATTAATTACTCACTTACCGACTTTCCAGTTTTTCATGCGATTACGTAACCTGTTAGCTCCTATACAGTCCCTCCCCTTACACTAATTTCCACTTATTGCCTCCCTCCCCCTCTCATTCTACAGCTCCAGAATTTCCTATCTCATCGGATATAAATTGCCATTGATTTTGACTAAGATTTGTAACTTTTAATCCTTATGTTAATCGTGAATTACAAATCTCCATTTATTTCTACATATTTAAGGTATATTATGCCATTATTACTACTAATACCTCATTTCAATTGTAGGCTGTTTACAGGTGATAAAAGGCGATGAAATAAAATGAGCTCACTTTATTCTGTAAATGTTGTTGTTCTTGTATTGTTCTAATAAGCAACAGTTTACATTTTGGAGTTGAGAAATATTCTTAAATTGTCACATGATTTTTAGTAGCTTTCTTAAAGACAAATATATTCTCTTTGTACTATAAGTTGACTTAGTGGTCGACTACAAGGATATCAATCCTAACAAATCCTGAGAGGGAGGGGGAAAACATTCAAAGAAACGTCTATAATGAAGCTAACTAAGCATGGAAGGAGTTGACACATCTACAACACCCCCCGCCCCCCCCCCGTACATAAACAGTGAAGCTAACAATGAAAGTATGTTGAAACAAAAACTTTACGAATGAAAACGATATGCTAGAATCCAAAATGTCATATTCATGAGTTTCACCCACATCAATACACAGCAAATCTAAAAATAATTTTTCCACCTACTACTAAAAACTTTATGATTTTTCATTGTTGATATGTATCAAAATCCACAGTTTTTTAAATGTCACCGATGCATCAGTTAGTCATATTTATGGGTTATAGAAATTTTAGCTACTTTGGGTTTATTTCATCGACTGAAGTTATACAATGAGTAGAAAATAAAGACTGAATTTCAGGTGAAAATTTAGAACAACTTTCTGAGAATTTCGTATCTTTTAAAAAGCATATATAAAAGTGAAAACCCTACTGAGAATCATGTATATGCTTTACCATAGTTCAAGGTTTCTTCTACGTATCTAATCTCCACCTTTATTGGAATCAAATCAACAACTTTCACTTCTAATGTAAGCACGTCTACTTTACAATGATATTAACTACAAAACTATGATTTTCAAAGAATCTTACAGTTCATAATTTTGGGATTTATATTTCTAAATGAACGTAAAACAAAATAAATTTGTTTTAACTGACGTTTTGTTATTTACTGCGAAATCTGTGTCATATAGTAGCTAACCTATTTATGCATAAGGTCGAAGAAATTGTCTTTACTCACTTACTAAAGCCAAACATTTTAGTTGAGATATGTTGATGACACATTTGTAATTTTAAAACACAATTTATACGAGGCATTCTTAAATTAGCTGAACTCTAGATCTTTCAATATCAATTTCAGCTTAGAAAAAGAAACGGATAATGGGGAACTGCCTTTCCTTGATTGTCTTATTAAGAGGAAAGAAAATAGACATTTAAGTATAACCATTTTCAGGGAAGCTACGGATTCAAACAAATAGATTTCAACTCATCACATCCAATTAGTACGAAAGTTTCTGTTGCCTCCAGTCTCTTATAGAGCACACACTCTAGTAACGAATGGAAATCCAAGAAGAAAAATATATTAGGAAGGTAATTAAAATGAATAATTAGCCCGTAAAATTCATCCGTAAAATATAAAATAACATTAAATTAGATCATAAAACTACTCCTAAATCATGGGGCCCAACTAAAGTTATCCATTACATAACAAACACATCGTGTGAAATTAGGAAAGTGCTCGAATACAACATCAAAGTAATAATGGAGAATATTTGTAGCTTAGGTGAGTGGTCTCAGTTGTATTGTGTTCTCTCAGCTGGGTTGTTTAATCGTGAAGCTTTCATCGTCTTGCTAGACTACATCATCAGCACTAACTTCAGTATGAAGTGAGTTGTCAGTTTCTCTCCGTGAGTGATTTAGCAGTTTATCCTGACAAAATGGTCTGTGATTGGTTCTTCCCTTCAATTGTTGTGTCATTGATTGTATAGACTTTCGTGTTGGTTGTTCCTCTGCTTCACCTCTGACCTTTCTGTCGCTTATCATTTTTCGTATTGGTTGATAGATCGGGTCTATGCCTACACATCTGTTGATTGCTGACTGACCTGAATGCCAAGCTTCTAGGAATTCTCTGACATTCTTTGTGTTTCCTCTGTCCAAAATTTCTACATTGTCGAAATTGAATTCATCTGCATAGTTGTTATATCCACCTGCATTGAAATGAGTGATGAAATGTCGTGGCGTTTAACAGCCAATTGGTGTTTATGTAGACGAAGGCGAAGAGGGAGGCCACCTTGTCCAATGTAGTGTTGACTACAGTTATTACTGAAAACTAGAAAGCATACTCACGACGCAACACATGACAACGTTGACAAGTGCAATTAAAAATTAAGCAGATGATAAAAAGAACAACGAAGAAAAGTCTTCGGGAAAAAGCTACTCAAAATCTCAGAAGCACCTACAACCGAAGAAACAAACGACTGAGTTACCAACTTATCAAAACAACCACTAACGAAAATGGAAGAACTTCTCCTTCAAAAAGGATTGAATTATAACACACGAGATGCCTCGAAACCATAATTCTTTGCGGCATTAGAATCCTCACTTAAAACATCAGGATTAAGTGAGGTCACTCAACAAGAAATACGGCAAACAATCGTACTACTAACCATGCAGAGGAGATATCATGCTCAAATGAACACTCAAGAACAGAAAACATTAAAAAAACTGAAAAATAGGAAAGATACCGTTATACTTCCAGCAGACAAAGGACGCACTACAGCAGTCATGGACGAAGAAGACTATATCAAGAAGGCACAGGAATTACTCAAAGATGAAAATGTGTATCAACCACTTGAAACCAACCCTATCCAGAAGTTCGACAACCAGATCAATAAAAATTTGAACAAATCCTTCAAAGCAGAAATAACAAAGCAAGACAAATGGTGTATGAAATCGAATGGACCTATCCTTCCTCGATCCTACGGCAGACAAAAACTACACGAACCCGATATCCCTCTACGACCCAATAGTCTAACTTCCGGGGACTCCAACACACAACATATCAAGAGAACTTTCGAGATAACTGGAACACCTCGTCCAATCATGTGGGCATT